TCGAGCGGTCCGACGCGAAGCAGACCTACTACGAGTGGTGCCGCGCGCGGTGCGAGGCCTACTACGAGCCGCCGTCGTACCTCCGCGACCGGCCGGAGGCCGACGCGGAGCGCCGCGCGTCCGTGGCCTCCCACGTCGACACCATGTTCGGCCTCATGCGCGAGTACGACCACGTCGCCTCCGACTCGGAGTTCAGCGACGAGTCCGAGTCCGACGACGACGACTTCTACGAGGACCTGCCCCCCGAGGAGTCCGCGCGGAAGCGGAAGCGGCGGAAGACGGAGAAGCTCGTGCGCATGGGCATCGAGGCCTTCATCGACTCGCCGGGCGTCGCGAGCCGCATCCTCCACGGCGACGGCTTCAACCGCACGCGGAGCGGCCAGGTCTTCGGCGGCGCGCGGAACGAGGACGACGTCCGCAAGAAGATCAACTTCGACTGACACCGCGGGAGGGCGCCGCCCCGGCCATGACACCGCCGGCCCGGGGCCCCGCCGCGCGGTCGCCTAACGCTCGCTCGGAGGAGGAGGAGTCGAGTGGGTCGTCGCCGGGGCCGCGCGGCGCGCCGGCGCCCCGGGAAAGGTTGCAGTCTCGAAGTCGGGGCGCGATTTAAGATCCATTCTATGACTAGCCAAATACATCAAACCGATCGTGTTAACACGATCGGTTTGCGTCGAACCTCCTCGATCGTGTTGGGGAGGTTGACACGATCTGAGGCCATCTGGAGGCATTGGACCTCCGCACGGCACGGCTGCGGGACGCTGTCGCGCCCCGCACCCCAAGCGGAGGTCAACGCAGCGGGCGGTGGGCCCCACGCGACGTCGCGAATGCTTGAACGCGCGCGCGGGACCACTTTCTGGCCTCGAACCTCGGGCTGCCCCGGTCCGAGGCACGGTCCGGAGGTCCCGGCGGCCCCAGAGCGCGCTGCCGCCAGATATGGTGAAAGGGCACGACCCGGGGACGACAATGAATGACTCCATCCGGTCCCTTGCGCTGGAGCTGCCCTGGACCATCACGAAGTCGCCGTCGGGCCGCCGCGGCTCCCGAGCCGCGACCGGATGAACTCGACAATTTTGAGTTCTACGATCCAGCCCTCTTAACGAGACGATGCCCGGGTGTCGACGAACGATCCTCGACGCTGCATTGGCTCGAAAACGAGCTCAAAGGGGTCGGGGGAGCCGAACGCGTCCTTTCCCAGCCCTTAGAACCGCCCGCCTGAGTCCAGGCGCAATCGCCTGGATGTCTCGTTTTCATCAGCGCTTCGTTCGCGCGCATGCGGTCAACTTAGCCACTGAGATCGTTGCGCGTCTCGGCATATTCGCTGAGATGTGGGGCTGCAAAGCCTGTCATGCCATCATAATATTATGGCAGCGCTTCGATCGAGCGGCTGATCGTGTTCAGCCGTCGTGTTAACACGATCGGTTGAAGCCGTTGCCCTAGTCATAGAATGGGCCTAACATCCCGAAGACCTGTGTGGTCCCGGGGCAGCGTCCGCGGACCGCGCGCGCCATGGGCTTCTTCACCAAGGCCAAGGCTACAAAGCACGAACGCCTATCCGATGCGAACGTCAAGAAGCTCTTCGACCAGTACGACGTCGACCACAGCGGCACGCTGGACCACGAGGAGATGGTCGCGGCCCTGGCGTCGCTCCACCTGCCCAAGTACCTCGCGGAGCGCGCCTGGCACCTCTGCGACCGGGACCACTCCGGGTCCGTGTCCCTCGCCCAGTTCACGGACTTCATCCACCACCAGGAGGAGCAGATCGAGGTCGTCTTCGACGAGATCGACGTCGACGGGTCGGGCGCGGCGTCCCGCGGCCGCGACGATT